CTCGTCCGCTACTACGGTGTTTATCACCGAAATGAAACGAGGAGGCCTGAAATGAAACTGCAGACAGTAACCCATGGCACTCCACCTCCAGTTTCTCCGCTGCTCTGTGAAACAGGGAGAAGAAGGAATTATCGTCCCGGCTAGCCGGCGCAGCAGTGGCGGCTACCTGACCTGACGACAAACCCTCGTCCTCCGATAAACCTTGAATGTCCAAGCCAATGTCCAGCACGTCATCGTCATCATGGTGGGCTGCCAGACCGAATGGCTGACCAGCCCGCTCAGAGGGTTTCGGCTTGAGCTCGGCTAACCCGTCAACATACTACATATGGTCTGCCCAGCTAACAGCGGAGACTTCGACCGGGAGCCTCTCGTCGTCGGACTCGGACGAAGCAGGTCTCTCGACTGGGAGAGGAGAGGGCCGTGCCGTGCGGCCGTGGAGCCCAGCACCTTTTCCAGAAACATGACTCGTCTCTCGAGGGTTGAATGCCGAAGCTGCCGACAGAACTCGCACGCCTCGGGATACGCCAATGCTCTCCTGGCGTGGACAATACCCAGACAGACAGGACACGCTTTGTGCTGGTCTTTGTCGTGCAGGGAGAAGCCGCACCCCTGAGGACAGGGGCGAACTGAAGACTTCTTCCTCAACTTAGGCTAGGTGCTCATATTGAGACACAAAGCACATGACTTTAGCAAGAAAACTCTACGGGCAGTCACACTCACTACGGTAGTATCGGTGGCTAACACCAACAAAAGCAGTTAAACTAATTCCAAGCCGGCAGTAGCCTTAGAAAACAGAGCTAACTAGCAGTAGCTAGATAGCCCGTGAGGTGTTCTTAGCGAGGTGAAGAGCTTAAGAACTGAGGGATGACTGTGATGACAGGCAGGGCCTCACGTCATCACAGATCATCTGCCATAAAGGCGTGAATAGAGCTGTCTTCAGTAAGGTCACGTGTGGCGTGATATCCCATACGATATGTGTTGTACTGAGTGAATCGACTGAAAGGGAACACATACCACAAGCCATGCATGTGCATAAAGAAATAGTAGCTGATTTCTATTCATGTACATTGCTGCATTTAAATACCTCTGTTGCTTCTTTTAGCATTGTTGCACAGAATATAGCAGAAGCCACGAGTCATGTTCGGCATCACTGTCGCAGCAGCTAATACAGTAGAGCAGGTGGTATGTGCAGAGAGCATGTGGAAGCATTTATATACACAAACTTCCTATGGAATGAGCCTCCATTAATCCCCTGAGTCAGAGTTTAGCATGCTGAAAAAGTCTGAATATACACAGCACACAAGTCTGCACTCTCACGAATGTAAACTTGTACACACAAAACCTCATGCTCTCCAAACTGTTGTTGCTCTCTTGGGAAATATGCTGGGGGAGCACGACCTGGCCAGCTGGCTAAACCATCATTCTTCAGTGTTTTGGTTACATTTGTTAGTTAATGAAAACTTTATGTGTTTTGTTGTCAGGGCTTAAATTACAACTTCCCGTTTTTACCCCTTTAAATACTTCCCATTTCCTCTTAACACCAAGGTACTGCTGATGTTAATCATTTCTGTATCCACTCAGCAGCTTCAGGGCCAGCTTACTACTGCTCATTTCACTGCCAGATGTTTTTGTGAGTTTGAATCTAATGGTTTAATTCTCTATTTCCCCCAAAACAAAGCTGTGACAACTTGGAGCCTTGTGCCATGTGCTTGTTCTTTCACTGAAACATTAATTAAGGAATAATTGGTGTACTTTTATAACCCTTGAACGTTCTTCCCTAACATCTCTGTTTCTTCAGTGTTCAGGAAGGTGGACAACCTTTCTGAGGAGGAGTCAGTCTACCACAAGAAGATCACCAAGGCCCAGCAGGGAATTGACGGTAAAGTAGACAGATTACCTCATGATTAGTCATTTTTTAGACTCACTCAGGTCAACCTCGTACATTTATGGCAAAACAATACTAAGAAATATGCTATTAATAAATTAGCAAAATTTCTTGGTACATGTTGAAACACATAAATATTTTACTTTTAGTACATGACTTGACTATATATACTCTCAAAGCAGCGACAATCGCTGATGTGACAATGTGAAAGGAGTTGGTTGTTCCTGATTCTGCAACTCCCTTTGACTTTAGAAAGCTAAATAACAAATTTAATCTCATTGTTTGGCTTCCGACTGGCAACCTGTCCAGGGTGTCTCCTGCCTTCGCCCTAAGTCGGCTGGGATAGGCTCCAGCCCCCCCGCGACCCTCGTGAGGATTAAGCGGTGTATAGAAAATGGATGGATGGATGTTTGGCTTCCGGCCCATAATACAGCTCTTCTGGTTCACTATAACTGCTTTCATAGTAGCTTGTTTAGCAGCTTATGTGATGAGAAATCTAAAAATTCACTTCACTACACAGTAATTCTCCAAACAGCACAGGAACTTTTAGAGACGAGCTAGTGAGCCAGATATTTTTCTCAGGATTGGGAGGAGGCCATAGACTGTATATACAAGAGGGACATCGTCTCTTGGTCTGAAAAGTGTAGCCAATGCAGAAGTGCCTTAAATCTACATCCTCTCCAACAGCCAGCAGGAAGTGACTCCTCTTGTTACAAAAAGAAGTCTGATTCTATCAAAATCCGTGACAAAATGAATCTACTTGTCATTTGATTTGTTACCTCAGTAAACATTTTCTGAATAAGTTCATCGTCTAAATTGCACAGTGTAGTTTACAATGGGGCTACCTTGTGCTACCAAGTGTCCTGTAGTCCTTAGACACATGCAACGCTCACTTGTTATGTCTGTTTTCCACAGATAGCAACTGGCAATAATCCAAATTTAAGGCTTTCCACCAGTAGTCCACAAAACAATGGGTGACATCACAGTTGCAACATCCATCTTTTATTTACAGTGCATGGTGAGACAATTGCAGGTAGCAGAGCTGCTCTGCTGTGTTACCGCCAGGGCATGAGTGAGTAAAGTTCAGCTCTCCCAGCTCTCTAACCTGTGCGCTCCAATAGCTCTCACACTCATAGCCCCTTCAGCTCAGCTCAGGTCAGATGTTATTCAGATTTCACTGCTCTCCACACAAATCGCTCATCGCTCACTCCAATAAAAGAAAAAAGGTCCATTTAGTAGCTTTTTAAAAAAAAATCTCCGGTTTCTCCGAACTATTTGTTAATGTTGACTTAAGAACTGCCAAGTAAAGGTTCATTTCTGTTTAGAACAGTTTATCACTTGAATGAGGAATATCCATTTAGTGTCTCTTGAACAGCTAAAAAACAGATCTCTTGAAATAGTTGTCTTGTCAGTAGGGCTGGTCCGAATAGCAATTCCAGCCCTACTTGTCAGATATCTAGAGAGATACCAAGTGTTTTAAGTGTCATCTAGAGTTACTCACTTTCTCCTTTTGTTTCTTTATATCTTAGATCTGAGGTCCACATCTAACTGTTCAGGCTGCCTTGATGTGACTCTGTACAGCCAGGAGATCAGCAAGCTGAAGAAAGAATTTGAAGACATCCAGAGAATGATACTGGGACAAGAGCAGGTATGGAAGATCTCAGAAGAGGTTCACACAGCAAGTTTTGCTCTTGTTTAACCAATCAGTCCAAAAGGACAATCAATTTGCAATAATATGAAGCAGAAAAAAGCAGCAAAATGTCCCCACATTCCATATTTCTGATCTCTATGCCTCTCCAGGTCCTGGACCAGGCCTCCCAAACCCAGGCCACCCTAAAGGCCACAAGCAACCGAGTGACGCGTGACATTCAAAACCACCTCATGTCAATCAAACTTCTCAACCAGTCACTGGAAAGATATCTGGATCGGGTGGAGGGCTGGAAAGAAGTGATTGAGGAAACTGAAGAGAAGATGAAAACGCTGACGGAGGATCAGTACGACATAAAAGCTACAGCCCAGCAAGTTAACACGACAGTGGCCCTCAGGTGAATAAAGCTGGAGCCAAACACAGATGAATAGATGTAATCTGTAAACACAAATATGAACTTTTATCTGCACTGTCTTCAGATTTATCAACAGCATGAACATAAGTTTTATCAACCTTTAGCACTACACTATTCATGTCTACAATATCATTAGAATAGTTTCTAATTAGCTATGCAGTATGTGGTCATGACGTTTCAAGCCAGTGTTATACTATACATGCACACAATAGTCTGCTTGGGCCCACATGACGTTTATTTCATACAGGTGGACACCTCGATGGAAGTCTGTGTGCAAGACAGGGCTGCACATGCTGGGCAGTAGTGTGCATGAATGAACAGACTTTATCTGTTGTGTACGTTTACAGAAGTCACTTGCAGATACTCACATGGACAACTGTGGACATCATAGATGTGTAACTGTAGTTATACTTTTGTTCTAGTTCATTGGAATCTGCTTGGAGAACTCTGTTCCATACCTGAACAGTTGTATCTTCATAATCTGGACATGCACATTGCTGCTGAGCATGTGTATCATTGCCACTGTAGCATAGTCGCCACAAACCTTGGGCCTCACGCAGATGTCCGCAGAGGGGTTTGAGTGGACACATTTTCTGACCCTTGTGTTGTGAAGGGAATAACAGCAGCATTAGTGAGCTTGCAAAGTGGAAACCTAAATGTAGGCAGCTGGTAAGAATGCAGAGTTTTAATCACAGCTGAAATTCTTCTTGCATTTCTCCTAAAACAACTATTACTTATGAAAACAAACTACAGTCACAATGACAACTGAATGTTCTCATTTTTTAAAAAAGCCCCAGCTGTGACTCATTCAGTACATGTGACGCTGATTTACACCAGTTAATGTTGATCACGTGATCTGTTAATTAAAGACTTACGCACAACCATAACTTTACCTGAGGTAATATCTCTTGCAATTTTAGATATTTTTCCTCTTTAGAAAGGAACAGGAGTGTGCTTGAATTCAAAAACTAAAAATATCGCAGACACATTTTCAGCTAAATGCTAACAAGCTCACAATAATGATGCTAATATGCACGTTTATTTATGTTTACAATGTTCAAAATCCCAGTGTAGCATGTTAGCATGATAGGACATGCTAATTTGCTTCAAACACAAAGTTCATTATAGCTTGATGGGAATGTCATTGGTTTCAACAGTGACATTTTAAACATTGTCAGAATCTTACTGAAGTGATTACAGTTATCCTGAATGAGGAATGAATGTATGCATCACATTTCATGGTAGACCATCTGATAGTTGTGGACACATTTCACTCTGACTTAAAAGTAGAAATTTGCTTCTAAGTTAACAGGTTCAGCTTCTGGGGATCATGAATACCTATATATCACTTCATTGCAATCCATCCAGTAGTTGTAAAGATATTTCAGTGTGGACCAACCTCATATTGTAATCCCACATAATACTGTTCCCCAAAAAACAGCATAATACACTACACATAATACACTACCCAATGTCCTATCAACTGTTTCTCTCATGTCCTCTGCTTTCCAGTACAATGTGGATAGATGCCTTGCAGAGGAAAGCAGATGAGGAGACTCTCGTCCTCCAGAAGCTGACCAGTGACTGGCAGAACTACAGTCGAGTTCTGAGCGCCATTAAGTCCAACACGAGCAGCACCACGCAAACCATGCGCTTTCTCCAGAACAACATCGTAGCAGATCACCAGAGAATTGCCATGTCCACGGAGGTGTACTATGACCTCACTCAGCAGGTTAGTGTGTGTTTGGTTACACTTATTTAACCATGAATAGAAAAATACACCTATTAGAAAAATAGGCGATTGTTTAATTGACTAAAAGGCAGTCAAGAGGCACAGCTACGGACATACTTTCCTGGATCCAGATCGAACATTTTTGTCTCAATATACCCTTGTATCAAACTGCACAGTTTTGGGTGGAGAATGAAAAAAAAAAAACATAGTTGCAGCTTAAACCCTAAACTATTTTTCAGTAACTTTTGTGATCTGTGTTTTTGTACTTGTACATATATCTGCAGGCACAAATTTAAACCCTGACATCATTATTGTAAGGTGAGGACAGATCTTTGAAAGACTTTAAAGTTTAAGAAAAGACTGGGCTTAACCTGGCAGTTCCGACAAAGATGGGGTCAAACACAAGATCATGCAATAGCTTAGTGAAAGTCCTAACAAGTACTGAACTGCAACATGTGTGTTTGTGTTTTCTGCAGGTGATGAACCTGCAAATGCAACTTGACAATGTGACATCTTTTATGGATGAACATGAGGAGAACATGCATGATCTTCATTACCATTCCAGGTAAAATGCATGCACACATTATACTGTTATACTTGTAAGAATGCTGTATTGATTTATAACAATTCCCTGATGACCTACTTGTTCTTGATCCTAACCTTAACCCAAACTAAATCCTAAACTAAACCTTAAAATTTGAAAACCAACTCTTAAAACAATTGTGACCATGTGAACAAATGTCTCCATAATATCATAATGTATAACACACTCACATAGACACAAGAAAGAGTAATATCAATTCAGTTGCTACAAATCCCACTGTCTACTTTAGGTACTATGAGAACCGGACGGGTGAGCGTTTCTCTGCCTTGGATGGTCGTCTGAACTCAATTGAGATGGAGATCGACACAATCTCCTCCAGCATCAACGCCACCGTCAGCCATGTCCAGAGCATGTACAAATACATCAACATCGAGAGCTCATCCTGCCAGGGTCGCCTGGGAAGACACACAGAAGATCTACAGGTTGTGAAAAACATGAAAACAAATATTTTTTAAAGTTTAATTGGTATAACACAGGGCTGCAAGATGACTCGGTGGTTAGCGCCGTTGTCGTGTCCCGGTGAGGGCACCCAGGATCTTTCCGTGTGGAGTTTGCATGTTGTCCCCGTGCAGCGTGGGTTCTCTCCTGGTTCTCCGGCTTCCTCCCACAAAGTCTAAAAACATGTTGAGGTTAATTGGTGATTCTAAATTGTTTGTTGGTGTGAATGTGAGTGTGTTTGGTTGTCTGTCTCTAAGTGTGGCCCTGTGATTGATTGGTGACCTGTCCAGGGTGTCGCCTGCCTTCATCCTGAGTCAGCTGGGATAGACTCCAGCCCCCCATGACCCAAGTGAGGATTAAGCGGTGTATAGATAATGGATGGATGAATGGATGGTATAACACACTTGAGAATGTATGTTCTGGTATTTGATTGGTCTAAAACCACAAGACTTAATATTATATGCAGTGATGGGACATCACCGGTGATTTGCAAGACTTTTCAGGCTAGTTTGTTAGCTTAAAGGTTTCCAAAGCTTATTTGTAATCTTTGACAGTCTGTTGATACCACATTTCTGTTCTTAATGTATCTCCTTCTCTTTGTCCTTGTCAGTTTTACCCGTCTCCTCATTTATTTGTATCCTAATGTCATAATCCTCTGTTTCATGCAGAACTTGAACAGCACAGTCTTGTTACTTCTCCACTCAGCCAACACACTGAGGCAGCAGAACATGTTGCTGAATGTGAGACTGGATGTGGATGTCAGGAATTTGTCCATGGTGATGGAGGAGATGAAACTTGTGGATGTTTTTCATACACAGCTCATAAAGAACTTTACTATAGTAAAAGGTACAGTAGATTTTGCCACATAAAACAACACTTGTCCTGGAGTACTTTTTCACTTCACTCTACCACCTTTTATCAACAGGTGCTCCTGGACCACCTGGGCCCAAAGGGAACCGTGGTGAAACCGGCTCAAAAGGACCTGTGGGATTGACAGGCATTAAAGGGGACCGAGGCCCCACAGGAGGTCGTGGATCTATTGGAGAGAAGGGTTCTCTTGGTCCTAAAGGAGCACAGGGTGAAACCGGCTCCGGTGGCAATAGAGGAGCGATTGGTATCAAAGGAGCCAAAGGGTCCATTGGTACACCAGGCCCCAAGGGTGAAAGGGGCCAGAAAGGTGACATGGGCCCCTCTGGTAGAGATGGCATTCCAGGACCCACAGGGCCTCAAGGGATACAGGGACAGACAGGACTGCCAGGCATCATTGGGCCATCAGGGCCAAAAGGAAAACCTGGACCAGTAGGGCCACCTGGACCACCAGGAATCCCTGGTCCTCCAGGCAGCCCGTACTGCCATGACCTAGGCATCCACCACCAGCAGCGAACTGTGACACCTGCTGCTGGATCTAAGCGACAGTAGTGAGAAAGAGGTGATTTGTCAAAAGAGCTCAAGAATCACAGTCAGATATGAACCAAAGGGATACCATGCATTGTGACTGGAGACACAATAATACATTTCTGTTGCATTGGGTAAGACTTTATGAACAAATGCAACATGGAGCTTTAGAGGAGGCATTTCCCTGAAGAAATGAAATGGCCACATGGAATAAAATAAAAAAATAAGGCCTGAAAATCTGAAAACAGTACAGCTAACACAGACTGAACTGTTGTTGAAAAAGGAAACGCTGAAAATGGATTGTGTTTGGACAGACTTTGACTTTTGTATGGTGATGGTCTTCATACAACTCATGGGATCTTGTTTTACACCAAGATACAGCAAGCATACTTACCCATAAATTGATTTACTCATAACAAATTACTGTACAGACTACAAATAAAAACTACATGGTGAGATATATAGGAATAATGATCATAAAAAAGTCTTGCCTAGTTGAATGTATCAGAAGCAAAGAATGTGTTTGAGGTTGTTGTCAAGCCACCAAAACCTCTCAGGACATAATAAAGAGGTTGGTAACCATGGATTTGCCCTAAAGTAGTCGTGTTTTCCATCCAGACTATTTAAAGGTTTACATTTCCATGTAGTACTTTATAGGCACCAGAAAATATCCACTTTTTGCATTATGTACACCTTTCTGACATCATTTTCAAATGGATGGCACTTTGTTCTTTCATAGTGTAAAAGTGTAAAATTTAAAGTCAGTTTGCTTATCTTAGGTTTTTCAGAGCAGGTACTCTGAAGACCTTTTCATCTACTGGGTCTGTGGTCTGTGGTTTGAAGAGGTAAAGTTGCAGAATTAATTCTGAGTCTTAGCTTTGTTACACATTGTATATAAAGGTTTTTTCTATTGGTTTGTTGTTGGTCAAGACAAGTAAAAATGAAAGTAATAAATAACTCCTGTTGGTGTATGAAAACATAATGGGAGTTTATTCACTGTCTTTCTGAGTGTCAGACTGGTGCAAGTCCTATGTTTTATGCTCAGCATGGAGCTGGAGGTGGTGATTAGCCTAGCTTAGCATAAAGACTGTTTGTAGAGAAAAGCAGATAATGTGAGTCTTATAAAGCTAATTAACACATGTTTTAATCAATAGATCAATAAACAGAAATGTAAAACTAGGTATTTCTGGTTTTAAGGGTAGCTATGTGCTGTAACTATCTTCTGACAACAGTTTTTTTCTAACAAGGGTAATATGAGCACATAACTGCCTTTAACTACATTTATCTCAATCCCAACTTAAGGAAAGTAATCGGATTTTTAGATACAATTTTTAGAGCTGTTTCTGTCTTTTGACAGTTTTTATGTTAAGCTCAGCTAATTACCTTAAGCTCCACCTTACTCACAGAGAATGCAAGCGACTTAAATCTCCTCCTTTGGAAAAAAAAAAAAAAAAGGCAAATAAGCATATTTCACAAACAGTGATATAATTCCTAAATATGTATAAAGGATGGAGATGTCATAAAAACTCACTCAACACACGTATAGATGATAGCATTTGTAAACCTGTCACGTGATAAAAACACCAAAGGTGCAGTTACAGTTTAACTTTTTATTATAGACAACTTTGATAATAAAGAATTGAGAGGGTTTGGATTTTAGCAAACACAAAAAATATGTTTTTATATCACAGAGTAAAAATTTTACGAAGAGTCAAAAACCGTTTTTGTGAATCTGAGTGTTGTAATGAAATGCGACTGGCTTGCATTGAACTTCAATAAAGGCTTTTTTTTAACAGTCTCTGTCTTGTCAGGATCTTACTGTACTTCCACACAGATTGCTTTCGTTGTGCTGTAAGGAAAAGGAGTGGTTTTGCCATTAACTCAAAACACATGTCAACCCCTCCCATTAGATTTTTGAGGTAGATTCAATTGTCTGTATTTAGTCTGCTGTTTTAAAAACATGACCGATAATTTCCATTTTGCAGTTGATACTAAAGCAATGAAGTCAGAAATACCTTTGACATTCTAAATACCACCTGGGTTACTATTTAAGAAAGCATTAAACATGACTATTTTAATTGAATTGTTATCAACACTGATATCTGAGACAGGCTGAAGTAGAGTAAAACAGATGAACGCCCATGTGCAGGAGAATGTGTTGCCTGCTGAATGATATTTTCACAGATTTTCTTCTTTTTCTCAGTGCTGGAACATGACAGGCCTTATGGGATGTTAAAGGAACCTGATGTCCAACAAAAACTTCCTTCAGATATCCAACAAAATCCTTTATTCCTGTGGTTGCATGACTGTTACTTATGAGCATGGAACATTTGCTCTAAATCACTTGCTGTTTTCACCTCAGAAACCTGAAGCAAAAGCATGAAATTGATGCTGTTTCTGATTTGGGAAGTAGGAAAATATAATATCCAGGATATATATTCTCATTAGAAATCCTTCAAGCTAACTTAAACCTTTTCTCAGCTTTTAAAAGAATCAATCTTGTGGGGAGGGGGACCTCCAGGAGACACATTTAAACTATTCCCACATGTGGAGCCATAAATCACCAACACTGGTGATGGAGGACAGTGCAGGGCAAAACACTGCAGATGTCACAACCAGCCACAAAGAAAAACATTGAGAAAGCAAAGACTAAAAACAAAATGTGAAAAAGAAAGGAAAGGGAAAAACTTAAACCTCACCACGACATGGTAATAATAGGTGACTGACAAAATATTATTTGATTAGAATAATTCTTTTGCCCTGATATGCACTTATTGAACAGCTATGAGACTGTCCTTTGATTAAAAAATAAAAAAATAAACAAAAGCTTGCCAAAAGCAGCTTGTTGCAACCCACACGGTAATAATTTTATGTTTTGACAGTCTCCTCTAGGGGTCAATATGGCAGGAGCAAAAGAGGAAGTGAGGTGACATAGTTATACAGCTGTAGGGAGACAAGGGTGGATAGCTGAGCCAACAAAACTGGATTTCAACACGCAAGACAACCGTTAGATTTCTGTTTCAAACTGACAACCATTGGTAATCTTCAGAAACAGACCTAAAACAGGGGTTATATTTGAACTTACAGTCATCATGTGGCGAGAAACAAGCTTACAAATAAATTACCTGGATGAAGTAAACAAATGCAAATATTTATTGCAATGTTTTTATTGTTACATTACAGCTTTTCACAGGCTAATGATATAGGCCCAATCTGCCACTGTGTGACGCTCGAGGCAATGTTGTGCTGGGAAAGCTTGAGTCCTGGTGTTCATGTAGATCCATCCATTATCTATACACCGCCTAATCCTCACTAGGGTTGTGGGGGGGCTGGAGCCTATCTCAGCCGACTTAGGGTGAAGGCAGGGGACACCCTGGACAGGTCACCAGTCTATCGCAGGGCTACACTCAGAGACAGACAACCAAGCACACTCACGTTCACACCTACGGACAATTTAGAATCACCAATTAGCCTCAACATGTTTTTAGACTATGTGGGAGGAAGCCGGAGAACCCGGAGAGAACCCACGCTGCACGTGGAGAACATACAAACGCCACGCAGAAAGATCCCGGTGCCCCCACCGGCGACCTTCTTGCTGTGAGGCAACAGTGCTAACCAGCTGCGCCACCTTGCAGCCCTGTTCATGTACATGTGACTTTGAAATGTATTAGCATTGTTATAGACCATGTACACCTCCTCATGGCAACAGTATAACCTGATGGTCTCTCTCAGCAGGAAAATGCACCCTGACACACTGCAAACATTGTTCAGGAAGGGTTTGATCTGGTCTTTAACTTTTCCAGTTTTAAATTTGATCCAGCATCTGTGGGATGTGCTGTAAAAACATGTATGAAAATCCACCCACCCATCCATCATCTATCCACTGCTTTATCCTCTGTAGTAAGGTCCCTATCCTAGCTGACTCAGGGTGAAGGCAGGGTTCACCTAGACAGGTCGCCAGTCTATCGCAGGGCTACACAGAGAGACAAACAAGCACACTCACATTCAATTTACAATCACCACTTAACCTCAACATGCTTTTGGGGTCTGGGATGAAGCCGGAGCATCCAGTGAGAACCCACACTGCACAGGGAGAACATGCAAACTCCATATAGAAAGATCCCAGGCCGAGATTCGAACCCAGGACCTTCAAGCTGTGAGGCGACAGTGCTAACCACCACAGCACAGTGCCACCTCAGCCAGATCAGTATTCCTAAACAAGGAAAAAACCCAGCGATTCACATGATGGGAACTTTAAAGACTCTCGCTAGTGAAAATCAAGCTTTGTACCTTGTTAACATGTTGATATGCTGTGTTTTTTAGGCTTGAAGATACATCGTGACTGAAAAAAGCTCCATAGTTATCCATGCAGTGCAGTGTACTGATGACAGTCTCCAAAACAAGCTTTAGACTTCCAGCATTTCGTATCTAACAAACCTAAGGAACCAATCCTGTCAACTTGCAGGGGGGATGTTTTTGTATCTTTATTCTTCTTCAGAATCAGTGTCTGGTTGGGACATATGTGGCTGAATCTCTCCAGTAGAACAACTTTCCATTACGTATAATAGAGAGTGCTTGAACAGTTGTTGTAGATGAGCTGGTGTGCTGAGTTACAGTGAAGTGAAAGCGGAATGTGTGGTGAGGAAGGGACTCATAGTTCTGCACATTCTAGAGTAAGCAACCATAAAGAGTTACAGTAAAATACATTTCAGGCAGAAATGATTTAATTTAATGGAAAAACTCACCATATATATATTTTTCTGACACATTAAAAAGGGGTTTGTCTCTATTTTCACAAATGTATAAACCAAAACATTTAATCAAGAGTTGCACAATAATACATCATGAATTATTCACTTACGGTCATATATACAATACCTACCTAAGCACAAGTGATAAGGATATAACGTGTAATAATAACAGTAACAGGTTGTGTTTTCTCCAGTGAGTAGTGCTTAAGTATATTTTCCTGATTAATACCCTTCTTCCTTCAGTGACATCTTTTCACATTTCTGTTCTGTCTTTTGTCTCAACACCATCCAGATCTTCAGGTCAGTTAGAGTAACATGTCGCGCTTCATGTTTCAAACTCAGTCCCAATCAAACTAAGGTTCACTTTAGCAATATGGGAAAAGGGACCGGGGAACCGAGGTCTGTTTAAACTGGCACGGGTCACTTGTTTGTTTCGGTTCGCTCTGTGCACCACATGCTTACTTGCAAGGTATATTTGAGAATGTTTAATCTCGCAGAGGTCACTGGAGGGGATGAGCATAAAAATGGTTTTTCTCTTTATTATAGTGTTTTAGAATCTGTAATGCTAGACTTCTGTAAATGTACTGCGATGACAAAAACACCATAAATAGACATTCGACGTCACTGTCAGAGCAGTGGTTTTTATTTTGATTTAAGTTTATCCAGTGGATTTTGAAAAAGGTGTGATTAACCTGAAGGTTGTATAACTTTGCGAAATTACAGCAGTGATAGATGTCAGAACATGCAAATCTCCAGAAGCAATTTGCTCTGTCAAAGAAGAGAGAAGTGTGAGACGAGGGTGTGTTGGGCTGCAAACGAGCCAGCATAAATCGTACAGCCATCTGCCAAGACTGAATTTATGACTTAATACTTTACTTTTGGACTGAATGTAGTGAGCTATTAATTGGGGGGGTGTAAGAAGTCTCTCCCTCTCTCCATATGAACGCTGAGTGGCTGTGATGTGGGTGTGAGTACCTGTGATGTTCTGTAATGGAGTAATAGTTTGTTGCCTAAAGCGCCTGCAGGACCAGCGCTTTCTGCTGACTCAGGGATGTGATGTCATGCCCTCACTGGCTTCACTGTGTGATGGTGAAAGTGTGTTTGCAATTCACAAATAAGCTTGCTTCAGACTATCATTCAGATTTCATCACAGAGGGGTTTCTGTTTAGACAGCTGGAAGGCAACGTTCCAGAGTGATTTTGTTGATTCCCATTTACCCTGTGAAATAACTCAACATCTAATTTGTGAGCTGGCACCAGATTTTATACAAATATTCATGGCTTCCAAAGGATAAATCATAGTTTCTTTAATAGGTTCCTCACTTTTCCTCTAGTGCCACCATGAAGGCTTGTCAAGAAGCAACAGTCTCTTTTAAGCTCTATTTTTAAAAATTCTTTACAAAACTACAGTCGTGACTTGATAATCCGACCCTTAACAATCCAAAAACCTTGCTATCCGACAGGTTAGCAGGATAACAGTGTATTATCTGACTTAACAATCCGACAGATTTACTTACCCCCGATGTTAACTGACAGGCCCGTGCTTTGAAGTTTTTTGAAGTATTTAACAATGTGACATGTTTTGACACCTAAACAATTCTATGAACCTATATATATACTACGGTTGTATCAGGCTTATCTATCATAGAAACAAATTGCTTTGATACTGTTACACGCCAGACATCATACGTAAAATTGCATCTACCAGGTTTTCACCAGCGTTCAAGAAGTCACAGACCACGTTGTGCTCTGTCATGGAATGACCGGCCACGCGAAAACGGACATAGATAACAGTAGTGGTGAAAAAAGCTCTGTGTTGGTACAAGCTAGAACATCCGAAATGTTCCCAGGATAGATTGCTTCAAAAGGGTTTTATGGCTCCCGGTGTATTGTTGCCGATCCCTGGTTTAGACTATCAGTGATTCCCATGATGCATTCCCATGATCTACTGTCCTCTGTCTCTCTCTTCATACTTCCATATATCACTCTATGCTCTCTTCTATTCCACGAGACTTCATTGACAAAAACAGTAGGGCTTAGCTCACGCT